CTCCACCCTCTAGATTAATCATCTCCCAAAGGCCCATTTTCAAAGGTTAGGATTTCAACATATGAATCTGGGTGTAGGGAGAAAATACAAACATTCATTCCATAACAAAAAGTCATGTACCGTTTCGTTTAATCCTCATATCAGCCTATTGAGGTAAGCTGTGCAGTCAAGGAAGCCAATGGTCAGAGTGGGGAGGGAGGAGAATAGAACACTAGCTTATAGTACAATACACAAAAGTACAGTGTAGTAATTATGCTCCAAAGCATGTTCTCAAAGACCCTTTCATACTTAGAAACAATGAGCATACAATCATGGATGAATTCAGATATCCATTTGGGAGGGAGCCTAGCTGATGGTATAGTCTTAGCATAGCACTCCAAAATACACTGGTATATTTGTGCAGAAGCTCTGCTTCACACAAGCTTCTTCCAGTCAAAGCTGTCCTGCATTCAGAAGCAGACACATTCAGCCTGGCAGACGGATGATCTGGTTGTTGAGTTGTTGAGCTTGAGTGGTTGGAAAGCCCGGCTTCTGTGGAGACTAGAGATTTGATAGGCAAAAACCTAGAACATTGAAAGAAATATAGATCCAGGAGCCAGCAGGTGGATATAGATATGGCTTCATCATCCTGCTTACTGACCCACTGGGGAATTTCTTTGCACCCTTTCCCTGCTATTCTGGGCTGTCTACAGGGTTGAAGGAGCCACAGAACTATAAATTATGGCTGCCTCTAGGAAATTTGGGTATTGGGTCCCTGACCCTGACCAACAGGAAGGACTCCATTTACACAGTGAGCAGGAGGAATTTGTGTGGAATATAGGGGTGTACTAGGGACTCACTACTCTATAACAATGGAGAATAGATATACCTAGCAACCTGGGACAGAGAAGGTAGTATTTTTCAAGAATGAATTTTGCATCCCAGCACCATATAAGCCACCAGGACCTACTAGGGTGAGAGCTAAGGGAGAGGAAATTCAAACCAGGGAGAGGATGAATATGACTTTGGTCATATTCAAGATCAGCCTCTGCTATAGGTGCTATACTTGGTCCCACTAACTTTTAAGTTTCCTCTTGGGTCAGAGACTCATAGGATGAAAGACTGGTTCCTCTACCTGGAACTGTACAGACAAAAAGACAGGTGGCATGTCTATGGACTCATCTGTGTCCTCTATGAATTCATATGTTCAAATCAAAACCCCAGTAACTTAAGATGTGACTGTATTTGGACAACAGGTCTGTAAGATACGTTGCAATTAAAATGAGGGTACAGAGCTGGATCCTAATCCAATGTGCCTAGTGTTACAATAAGGAGAGATTAGGATGTAAAAGCACATAGGAAAACCATGTGAAGACACAGGGAGATAAAGCTAAGGAGAGACATTTCAGGAGAACCAAGGCTGCTGATGTCTTGATCTTAGACTTCCAGCCTCCAGGACTATGAGAATAGTTGTGATGTTTAAGCCCCTTAGCTTGAGGAACTTTGTTACAGCAACTCTCATACACTAATACATAACACAAGGGATGGATGCCTGTTACATCTCCAGGAACAGGGAGGAAGAGACTGGAGCAGAAATGTGTGACATGACACCACAACTTGACAGAGAACCTTCAAGACAAAGTGACGATTCTCGGGGAAAGAGGCCTACCTCAACATCCCTGCTATCTTATCTCCAGCAGGGAGCAGCTGGTAAGAAGCCTGCTTTTTGCTTCTTTCTTTTATTTTTTTAGATTGTGGGGCTTGAATTCTGGGCCTGGGCGCTGTCCCTCAGCTCTTCAGCTCAAGGCAAACGCTCTACCACTTGATCTACAGTGCCACTTCCAGTTTTCTGATGGTTTATTGGAGATAAGAGTCTCACGGACTTTCCTGTCCGGGCTGTGATCCTCAGATCTCAGAAGCTAGGATTACAGGTGTGAGCCACTGGCATCCAGCTGCTTCTTTATTTTTGCTGTCTGACACATCATTTTGAGTGGATGAGTGAATGACCTCAATTTCACCCTCCTCACGACTCCCCACCCATACTGCCCAACTTTTTCTAGCTTGCTGGAGGGGATGGAGCTGACTTAGTGCTTTGTGAAGTCCGGGCTGCTGCCTTGAACGTTACAGAATAAATTGGCTTTGTCTGCAGGTGGACACTTAGTGATACATTTATTTTTGAAGTCAAAGTAAAATGTATTTACAGTATTAGCTGTCAGTGGTATCCTGTAGGGGCAAGGTTGTGTGGACATCTTTTGGAAATTAAACCCTTATACCCTCTTTAACTCTTTAAAGAAAAAGGAAGCCGGACCCTAGTCGTTCATACCTGTAATCCTAAATACTCAGGATCTGAAGGTCACAGTTTGAAGCCAGCCTGGCAGGAAAGACCGTGAGACTCTTATCCCCAGTAAACTAGCAAAATAGCCAGAGTGGAGATGTGGCTCAAGTGGTAGAACACTAGCCTTGAGCAAAAGAAACTCAGAGACAGCATCCAGGCTCTGAGTTCAAGCCCTAGGACCAGCATAAAAAAAAGAAAAAAGAAGAAGAAGAAAAAAAGGAGGTTAATTTTCAGGTTTCAAAGAAAATTCTGTTAATGTTGATAGGATTTCATATTTAAATGGCATTCTATTTTTATTTTTACTTAGTTTTTGGTGGCATTGGGGGTTAATCTCAGAGACTTGTGCTTGGTAGGCAGTTACTCTACCAAGTTAGGCTTTTTGCTTTAGTTAGTTTTAGGATTATCACTGACAGCAATCCTCCTAATTATGCTTCCTGAGTAGCTGATATAATAGGTCTGTTCTACTATGCCCAGCTTATTGATTGAGATGGATTGGCAAATTTTTTTTTTCCTGGGCTGGCCTCAAGCTACAGTACTCTTGATCTCTGCCTCATGAGCTGGAATTACAGGCAAGAATCACTGTGCCCAGTGAGAATGGCATTTTTAGTAGAATGATTTCAGAGGCATGAAATAAAATTATAAATAAATAAATTCATATATGAATGTTTGTTAGGTGGTTATTCAGATAAGGGTAGAGCTAGTGGTCTGTTTCCAAGAAATAAATAGTTGAAGGAACAAGTGACATGCTTAGAGATTCTTTAAGACATCATGTGATAAGTTAGGCCCATTTCCTCCAATGTGGCAGCCATTGGCCCCACATGGCTCATGGGTATCTACAGCTAAATAATATGTGTTGTAATTGCAATGAGCAGCACAAGATTCCAAAGATTTGGCATGAACAAAGATACAAGGAAATTCTCACTAATAATTCTTAATGTTGGCTTTATGTTCAAATGGTAACACTTGGAGTACACTGGCTAAATAGGATGTTACTACAATTAATTTCACACATTACCTTCTGCTTTTAATACAGCTGTTAGCAAATTCAATTCATATGTACATCACTTCTTCCTATAAAAGATACCTTTGGAATCAACTACCTGCATGCAGATCAGAAATATTCAGAAAAAGTTGTATCTGTATTGAATAGGCACAGACCTTTTTCTTGTCTTTATTTCCTATACAGTACAGTGAAACAACTATTTACAAGGCATTAACATTGTAGGCATGATTAAGTATACAGGACTGTGCAGATACTATGCACTTTTATATAAAGGACTCGAGTATCTGTGGATTTGGGGATCCAAAGGAGTCCTGAAGTCAGTGCCCCTGACTTATGGAGAACTTCTCCCTTATATTTCTATTGGGTATGGCTTAGATCTCTGAGTTCATTTCCATCAGCATTCTGTGGAAACTTTGATATAAACTATAATTGCAGACACATGTGCTATATAGAGGGGAGCTTTAAAGAGATTACCAGTTTTGAGATTTCTCTTGGAAAGTTGAGATTCCACCCCCCTCTGCCCCCGCCAGATTGTCATACTTAAAATAAGAGGACATATGTATGGGAAACAAAGACAAAAGCAGTGGATTGTAGGTCAGATAATTTCAGAGCAAAGATAGAAGGATTCCTAGTCTGGGTAGGAAAGCAGCCTTAGAGTTCCTTCTGCCACAAGGAAGAGCCAAGAAAAACCACACTTCAAAATGCAATATCCTTACATATAAGAGTCCTGGGGACTAAGTCTCCAAGCTCTCAGGAAGCAATGGAAATGAGTACATTTTAAATCGACTCATACTTTAAAATAGAATTCCCTGGATATCAGGTCTCTAGGCACATTCAAACTTGGAGCTCTCTAGTATTGAAGGAATATTTAAAAAAGCAAAACTGGTGGCTTATGCCTGTAATCCCAGCTATTCAGGAGGATAAGATCTGGGGATCAAGGTTCAAAGCCAGCCTTGGCCAGAAAATCCATGAGATTCTTATCTCCAATTAAGTACCCAAAAGCTGGAAGTGGAGCTATGGCTCATCAAATGGTAGAACACTAGCTTTGAGCACAAAAGCTTGGTGACAGCATCTAGGTCCTGAGTTCAAGCTCCAGGACTGGTGAAAAAAATTTGTTTTAAAAAAGAGGTGGAGGAGGAGGAGGAAGAGGGGGAGGAGGAGGAGGAAAAGGAGGAGGAGGAAGAGGGGGAGGAGGAAGAGGGGGAGGAGGAGGAGGACAACAACAACAAAGATAAACAGAAAGAACACCTCCTCATTGGAGGCAAAGCCACCTTTCTTCCTACAATGACTAGGCCAATACGGGAATGATAGTCTGCCACTTTCAAGGCTGTCCACTCACCAAGACCTGGGTGTAAAAGAAATGCTCAGTGTACTCATGCAAAGTATGATTAGCAGAACTTAAATAAAGTATACTTAGTAGAATTGCAAGGGCTTCTGATTAAAGCATAGGATGTGGGGCAGGTGAATCCTTAGGTTGGGAACTGGATGTTCTACTGGAGAAACAAGCCCTTCCATCCCAAGCCTCATCCCAACCTGACCCCAGGTTATCTAGGTGCCTGTGGTCAGGCCTGAGATCTGGGTTGACATCTGTGAACACCAGGAAGTCAGCTGTAGGGGTGAACATGTGAGGTCAGGCTTTAACTTTGGGTAGCACTCAAGGGACTTTCTTCTCCAGTGTTTCATTTTTTGAGAAGGACTTTGAATGATGTGATTCTGAACGTGAATGCTTCTTAAATTCGCTAAGGTAAGTTCGTGTTCAGTGTAGGTAGTGAAGAGCAAGGAGATTCTGACTTCTGTTTTCTCTGTTTCTCAGCTCTGAAAGGCAGTTCCCATGTCTTTCACTCCTTAGGATTTGCGTTTACTTAGGACACTGAGTGTAATAATTCGAGTTAACTTGTAAGTCATTCTTGTCTGTTTATGCTTGAAAAATAATAAGAACGGAAAATAATTTTGGCAGATTACTTGCTACATGTTTTGAGCAGAGCACCTTTGAGGGTTTCAAGGTTGTGGTGGGTTGGGAGAGAATTCAAGTAAAGGGATTTCTTTTAATTCAAGAAGAATTTTATGCTGAAATGTATGCTATTTATTTACTTATTGGTACCAGTTTGAGGTTTGAACTCAGGGCTTCCTGCTCACTTGACTATACATTTAGTGCAGATTTTTGCTGCCTTAAACGTCCTCAAAAGACTTGGGGACTCTATGTGTGTGTGTGTGTGTGTGTGTGTGTGTGTGTGTGTGTGTGTGTGTGTGTGTGTGTGTGTGTGTGTGTGTGTGTGCTGGTCCTAGGCTTGAACTCAGGGTCTGGGCTACTGTCCTCAAGCTTCTTTTACTCAAGGCTAGCACTTTACCACTTGAGCCACAGAACTACTTTTGGCTTTTTCTAAGTATTTATTGGAGATAAGAGTCTCATGGATTTTCCCGCCTGGGCTGGCTTTGAACCATGTTCCTCAGATCTCAGCCTTCTGAGTAGCTAAGATCACAGGCATGAGTCAACAGTATCAACTTGAAGTGTGTACTTCTTAGATAAATACTGGGCAGAAAAGGTAACAAGTGCCATACTTGCATATAGCTCTGAAGGGCACAAAGTCCACAACCAAGCCAGCAGAAGGTGAAGTCACTGATAATGGCTTGTTCCCCATAGATGGCTGTGTCCATGTGCCCCCATGGAGGTGGGTGGGGATGGAGGGGTGTGGGGGAGTATAAGGGTATGAGGAGGTGAGGGGAAATGGGAGGTGAGGAAGACTCAACTCTTTTTAGTTGTATTTAAATTTAAGCTAAGATACTGAGACTAGAACCCAGAACCTATGATCATGCTAGGGGAAGCCTTTATCACCAAGCCCCACCTCCAATCTTCTTAGTTTTTAATGACACACACATGTTACAGCTATTTTTCATCTTGATTCACTCTGAAGTGGAGGGTGTGGTTATATATTCCTATGCTGAACATTTGGGTGTGCAATTAAACTTTCCTTCCTTCCTTCCTTCCTCCCCCCCCCCCCCTCTTTTTTTTTTTTTGGGTCTGGTCATGGGCCTGAACTCTGGGCCTGGGCGCTGTCCCTCAGCTCTTCAGCTCAAGGCTAGTGCTCTACCACTTGAGCCACAGCGCCACTTCTGCTTTTTTTTCCTGCTTATGTGGTGCTAAGGAATTGAACCCAGGGCCTCATGCATGCAAGGCAAGCGCTCTACCACTTGAGCCACAGCACCACTTCCAGTTGTCTGGTTGTTAATTGGAGATAAGAATCTCACGGACTTTCCTGCCCAGGCTGGCTTTGAACCACGATCCTCACATCTCAGCCTCCAGAGTAGCTAGGATTACAGGCGTGAGCCACTGGCGCCCGGTTGTGATTAAACTTTTCTTCCCTCAAAAAAAAAAAAAAAAAGTCTCCTAATAGTTTAGGCAATAGAGTCAGCAGTTAGGGGCAAGGATTGTTTGGGCAAGTTTTCCTGTCTTTCTAAGTCTTGTCTGTTAAATAGGCACAAATGCGGTGCCAACTCCCAGGGCTGGGGGAGGATTAGAAGAGATTATTCACATAATGCCCTTAGCCCAGAGCTTGGCATTTTGCAGATCATGGCTGTATTTATTATGGCTCTCCTGCTAGCCTCACCCTGACTTCACAGGTGTCTCAAAGGGTGATTTGGGAAGCCTTGCATCCCTGGTTGCTGATGGGAAATGGCAGTTCTCACCCACAAACCTACAGTCAGAACCCCTAGGATCGCAACCCAGTGATCTGTGCTGACAGGCTGTCTTCAAGATGGATCTGTGTGCATTGCCAAGGGGAAGAAGCCTCCGCCTACAGCACCCTACTTCCCCCACCTCAAGATTCTGCACACGGGGACACACCTGGCTCTCTCATCCTGCCCCGCCTCATTCCTGGGAACAGTCCAGTTGAGGTGTGTGTGTGTGTGGGGAGAAGTTGAGGTGGATTCTGGGAAAGGGTGGTTGACTCAGTACTTCCGGATGGATAGACCCAGGGTGTGGAGGGTATTGGGCCCATCCCGGGTCTTCAGTAGGGCCCACAGAAAGGGGAACTGGGAGGAACTTGTCTGTGTGCCCCTCCCCCTCCCCCGGCCCCCCATAAGGAAGTCAAAAGGTCAGTAAGCCCTTGGTTAGGGAGGGAGGACCTGAGCTCCAAAGTCAGGTGAGGCCGGCCAGCTCTGAGGGTGTATATTCGCCAGCCAGGCTGCCACCGGGTCGCCTGAAGGTGTCTCCTTCTCTTCACACCCCCCTAGTGCCACTGTCTGTCCCTGCTGCTGTACCTGACTTCCTCCATCTCTGCCAGGAACACACCCTACCCCTGCCCATCATTCCTCCAGCAAACAGTCCCATCACCACCCACGTTAGTCACAGCTCAGGGCACTGCAACATCGCCTCGCTCCCTCCGGCCTAGATTTTACTAATCCCTTCCACCGCTACTTACTAAGTACAGTGGGGACAGATACAGCTGAGAAGCAGGCTACAGGACCACAGCTCGGGACCCCTTATACTCACCCAACAGGTTTCCTTTCTTCTTTCTTTTTCTGGTCCTTCTTTCAGAAGTCTCTTATGCAATACTTAAAAATACAGCTGCTTTAAAATCCCTGCGCAAAGTCCTTGTGTCATTTAGGACTCGGTGCTCAGTCAAAGAGCCTAGGTTCCCCGGCTCTCCTCTCTTTCCTGTCTATTCCATCAAACCTGTTCTTGCCTCAGGGCCCCCTATCAGGGCTCTTCCCAGCTCCCCCCTCCACCAGGCTGGCTCCTGGCAGATCACTGTGTGTAATGTGACAAACCCACCCAGCACCTCCCATCTTCTCCTCCATTTCAGTTTTCTTAGTATTCACAGCTATCTAAATTACACTCATTGCTATTAAGTTACAAATGCGTTTGTTCACTTGTTTCTATCAGCCTCTTCTAGAATTTAGAAGTTCCTGAGAGCCAGACACTTGCTTGGCCCGTCATTCCTCAGTCTCAGTACTTTAGACTGAGAGTACTTTATTGAGCCCCATCCACACCCATAGGAACTTGGTAAATACTTGTTGAATGAATGAGTGGATATAGGATTACATTTAGATTGTATAGAATCTTTCATGACATTCTCTCTTTCTTCCTTTCTTTCTCTACCCCTCCTCTCTGATCTTTCTTTGTGCTGTTACTAGGACTTGAACTCAGGGCCTCAAGCTCTTGCTTAGCTTTGTTGCTCAAGGTGGGCACTCTACCACTTGAGCCAAACTATCACTTCTGTTGTCCAGAATCCAAGGGTTGGGGGGGGGGGTGAGTTTTCTCTTGTACTATATAAATAAGCAAAAAAAGAAGGGGGGAGGGGCTGAGGGCAGGCTGGAGACATGTCTAGTAAGCATGAGGATCTAAGTTCAGTCCCCAGTTTTGCTAAAAAAAAAAAAAAAGTTAAATAAATGGGCTTTTAGTTTTCAATATCTCATTTAAACTGAAGAGGAGAAAAAGAGACTAGTTGAGTTCCAATAGTGCAAGCACTGCCCGCTTGATTGAGATTCTATCAGTTCAGAACAGGTGTTTTTAATACTGGCTTAAATGATGTGAATTCATCACAGACTTGAGTTCTAGAGCAAGGATCTGAAAAACTTTACTATACAGGGCCACACAGTACATACTATTCGCTTAAATGTAAACACAAGTTTGCCCTCATCCATGAAGGCAGCCACAGATAATACAAAAATGAGTGTTTTAATTCTTTATTGACAAAGCCAGGTAGATGATCTGTTCTAAAGGATATTGAAACACCTTGTTACTCTTTTTTTAAATTACATTTTTATTGTAAAGATACTCTACAGAGGGGTTACAGTTACATGAGCAAGGTAATGAGTCCATTTCCATCGAGCATTGCATTGTTATCCTCTCCTTTGTTTTTCCCTACCATCCCTTTCCTCCCCACCTCCCCAACTCCTCTCCTCCCTCTCTCCCACAGAGTTGTAAAGTTCGTTTTCAACATAGTGTCTTGTACATCTTGTTGTTACAATGGGTCAACCTGTAACCTTATTTCAGCATTTTGTTATTTCCTTTCCCCTCCCCAAATTAGAAAAATGTATATACAAGATGCAGGACACTGGAATCAAATACAGTGACAACAGGGGTTATACCATGGGGGAAGAACATACAAAGAAACAAAAAAAATCACATAGTACATTATAAGTACATTAAAAAGAACAGCAAGAAAGAAAAATATCTCTTGTGTCCCTATCTTGGGGTTGATTTTGCTTAGCATCAGCTTATATGGTCATATGTACATAGCTTTTGACCTCTTCTGCTTGTCCTAGACATACTAGTTATTGCAGATAAGGGAAACCATGGGACCTATGTTTCTTTGTGTCTGGCTTAATTCAATTATTGAATTATAAGTTTTTCATCTGTAAAATGAAGGCATAGATAAACTTGCACAGCTTTCTCCTAGATCTATACTGTGGAATAAAAATATACCTAGTGCAGATAAAGCAAGGAAACAACACTACATAATCATGAGCAAAAGAGAAGGTTACTTTTTAAAACCACCGAGTTTGGAGAGAGTACACTGTGTAGCAAAATCTGACTGTTACAACTATCTAAAACATTTTGTACCAGAGTGGCTCTGGGAAAATGCTTAGGGTGAGATTCTAGAATTGGATTGCTTCCCACTTAGATGACAGCAAGTACCCCATTTCTGTCTTACAAAACAATGCAAGTACAAACACCCTAACTTTTGAAGGGTTTAGATGGGTGCAAGGAGGAGGGGCATACTAGGATAATAGGCTAGAAAT